CCGGCTCAGTGCCCTGCGCTTTGCTGCGGGCTCTCGGAGCCTCTCCGAATTTCTCTCGCTTGTCAGCTCCAGCCTATATCTGTCCCAGGCATTTTTTAAGTGCATCGGTTTCATAGGTGGCCTCTCAAAAGATGACATGCAGGAGGATGCCGTGGCACTGTTCTGTGTCAAATGCACAGGGTAAAAGCATTGGGGGTAAAAGGTGATGCTCTGGTCCCCTGTCGGGATACTTGCCCTGCATCTGGCTGCCTTCAAAGCCACGTTTATATACCAAGGGAAAGTGCATGCAGGCTTTTGGGGAGGATGGACTCTGGAGACATCTGAAGGAGCTGGGCTCCTTCAGCCTTCACAAGTCTAGGGAAAATGCTAGGCAATATTTCTGAGGAAATTTTCCAAGATGTTGGTATAGGACAGACCCTGTGAGAAGAGCTGATTCTGTGACCCTGTCCTCCGTGGCACGAGTGTGGGTGGGAGGCTAGAGGGCAGGGCATGGCTTCATGGGAGATCTACAAAATGCTTTTGGAGGTAAGGCAGAGAGCCAAATCCCACACCTTACTTTGTACTTGGCTTGGTGGAGGACGTGGACTCAGCACAGTACTAACCAGGCAACGGCATCAAGTCTCCTGCCTCCAACATACTCCTTCCTGCGTCAATATTTTTCCTGCTTTTCTCTTTCCATCACTTCATCACTTTTTATGCTAGCACTTGCTAGTTCCTCTGAGGCACCAGCCGTCTTTTGTCCCAGCTGGTTTAAGTGACAAACCCGTGAACATCCAGAGTGGTTTTCAGCCTGCACTTAGCTTTGAAGATGCTTCCATTTCAAACCTGAGGAGAGTGTATGTGAATGAAAAACACCACTGCTGCTACTTCTTCCAGATATATTAGTCTAACAAAAGGTATGACCTCGCTCAACAAATCTTCATTTTTGCTTCCCTCCCTGCCCCAACAGGATGCATTTTGTGTAGATTTTTCCAGAGGAATCGCTTCAAAACAAAGATTGGCAGTGCTTGCCTCTGCCCACGTCCACACCTTTTTAAGGTTTACAGTCTGGTGTCCCAAAGTTAATGCCTTTTAGAAGTGCTCAGCTTTTCCTGCTAGCTCCAGGTGAGGTTTGCCTTCACTGACTGCTTCTGGGGGTGGGGGTCAGGGCTGAAAGAACTCAGCCATCCGTTGGCAAAGAGGGAAGAAGCCAACAGAAGAGACAAGAAAAGGTTAGTGTGGCTTTTGTGCACAATATGAAAAGCAAGTCAATACCATTGTAGGGGCATTGGAGGGTACTCAAAGCAATCAGCCAGGGGCCATTGTGTTCCTTTAATCTACATGTGTATTTCCCAAGAACTCTATTAGTGAAGATGAATGAACTGTGCAATGTCCCTAATTTCTTCTAATTTGGAGCTGGGGTTTTATGGCACTCACAACTAGCACAAAACATGCCTGTCCCTCCAGAACCCCTGGGCAAACTTGGGAATCGGTTTTGCTTGTTGTAGCAAAAAAAGATAGCAATGTGAGACAAAGGAGCAAAACACCTTTAGCCAGACTCTGGTCTGGCAGTAAGTGCCATAAAGGGCATTGGGTCCTAGCACAGATGCTGCTTTTAGGGCACCTGTCAAAATTGTCCACTGAATTTTTTTGCTGTTAATCACAATGCAAATGTACAGCAAAAAAACTTCCACCCCCAAAGCAGGCTACACATCCCACACACAGTACATGAGAGACGTTCCTCCCTAATAGAGAAGGATTCTTCCTCAGCAGTAGATTATTACCGTTGTATTTGCCGTATGGAACTGCATTTGTTACTGTTGCATCTTTCTTGCAGGGGAGTGGAGCTGTCGAAAGAGGAAGCAACTCCCTTGGTCACAATCTGTAAAAATCTGAAAAAAAAACTCCACCCTGTAGCAGAGCAGAGACCAGCTCTGACTCTTCCAGCTCCAGATCTATCTTTTCTCTCTTGCCATGTTTAAGGCATGGACTGTGGTGCCCTGACATGCATGTGAGGCATCACACAGCTCTGGGGAGGGAGACAGTTCCTCTGATAATCGGAGACTGACACAGAAAGGTTAGAATGGCAAAGAAAGGTAACTGTCTGAACATTTCCCTTTGGGTCTAATGTACTGTCTGTTAGCTAAATCCCCTGCTGCTACAAAGTCCCCTGGGACATATGTCATACTAGTATGAAGCCTCAGAAATTGGTACTGTGGTACATCACAGCTTTGCAAAGGCCATTTACCTTTGGAAATTTACAGGGCAATCGGGATTGAATTTGAGAATATTGATTAGGGGATGAAATAGGTGGGATTTGTTACTTGCCTTGTCAAAAGATGGCCCCTATTCCATCACCTCTTCTAGTTTTTTGCAATGTAGTATTATTATTATTTACAATTACTGCTGAAATTATGTTTGGAAGCTAACAAAAAATTCCCAAGATGGACCATCTCTCAAGTGCAGCTGTCTGCTATACCTCCTTCCTGTGCATACATAGTGAAAACTAAATGAGAATAGTTTTGATCCTGTTGGTGCTGTTGAAGTATATGTATGGGACATGGCTTCACACAATGAAATCAGCACCATAAAATGCCACAGATTCTTGCTTCCTTTCCTCCTGTCTTTTCTTTATGTCAAGTTGAAATAATTACTGCCTTGCAGAGCAGACATTTGAAGCTGAAGTCACTCTGCAGGTGGGACATCACTCTCCAGACCAGTGATGTGCAGCAGGGAGCGCCTCCCTGAAAGATAAACAGGAC